CCAGTAGGACTTAGTTCCTCAAAGAATTTGATCAGAGAATGCAAGGGAAGTTTTGCCAGGTGGAAATAGGTAGAAATATTAGTTTTCATCCCTTTGCTGCTGGATAGTAATGCAGAGTTTTCAAAAGAGAAGTCAGAACCAAAGCAAGACTTAACCATTCCTGGAATTGGAAAAGGACAAATGTCAAGGGCAATATGATGGAAAAGACTGATTAGCCCAACTGGGATATTTGTGAATGGATCCAGCTTTTACAAATATTTATTCTATCTTAACTCATGATTTAATATATTTCTCTAGTTAAGCAAAATATTAAAAATGTTAAATGTTCAGTATTAAGATAGTTTTAAAAGGAGACATATATGAGTTTAAGAGTAATTCTTTTTAACTTTTTTTTTTTTTGGTTGTACTTTTTCTTTTTGGTGGGATTAGGGTCTGAACTCAGGGCTTCAGCACTTGCAAAACAGACACTCTACTGCTTGAGCCGCACCTCCAGTCCATTTTACTCAGTTTTAATGATACTGAACTTTTCTTTGCAGCAATAGACTGCTGTATTTTTTTTTACACCCACTCCCTTAAGCAGAAAATTTAGAGCTACTCTGGCTGCCAAACACACAGAATGGCTCTTTGTGAAAATGAAAAACAAGCAGAGAGAGAAGTTTAATGTTTATTTTTTCATGGAAGGTTAAATAAACAAAGTACCTGATTTCATTTACACCCTTAATTTGATTCATTGATTTGTTTACCATTCAAACAATTATCTATCAAGTTCCCACTATGGTAGATACTGATTTATGTGTTAGGGAAATACACACATGAACTGAAATTTCTGATACATTGTATTCCGTAGCATTTTTCAACTGGATTTTATTTTCCCTACTACAACCTATCTATCTCCCTTTACCTCCCAAGGTCATTCATTACCTTCTTATTGGTCTCCACACTGGCTGTCTTGCTAATACCACTTTCTGCACAAAAAGATATCTAAAGCAAAGTTTTTATCGTTATCAGCCCGCTGCTTAAAAAAAACATTAGCTGGGCTGGAGATGTGGCTCAAGTAGTACAGCATGTGCCTAGCAAGTATGAAGCCCTGAGTTCAAACCCCAGTACTGCCCAAAACAAAAAACCCAACAAACCTTTAGTCCTTATTCCTACTAAAATTAAGCACCAACTCTCCAGTTCAGCATTCCAGGAGCTTCATCAAATGGTTCCAACCTATTTTCCTACCTTTGTCTCCTAGGACTTCTTTATTCATATCAAATATTTTATTAAAATCGAGCTGGACACATTTGTTGCTCATATACTTTCTGCTTGGCATACCTTGTCTGTCTCTACTTTATTCTTCCCAAAGTGTTTCAAACGCAGCTGTAGTCATGAAATAATCTGTCATGCTCTGACTAGACTAGATGAAATGTCTCCTTCTTCCCATCCCAAGAGATAATATTGAGAATGCTTTATTTGTTCTGTTTTATGTTATAGTTATCTGGCTAACTATCTACTTGTCAGCTCTTTGAAGACAAGGACTTCGCCTTACTATCTTGTTATCCACAGTATATGCTTTCACATAGCAGATTCTCAGCTCAGATTTACTAAGTTAAAGTTGCTTTAAAAAAAAAAAGGATTGGATATCCTTAAAGTTAGTATCTGTTTACCTCTCTTAAAGAGTGATTTCATGGGTGGGGGCAGGGGGGAGAAATGACCCAAGCCTTGTATGCACATATGAATAAAAAAAAAAAAAAAGGAGTGATTTCATTTTCTTCTTTTGCTGACTTCAAAACTTGTAAAAAATGAGTTTAGAAATATCATAAATTTCTCAATTCCTAGAGTAAAGAGGGACATTTGGGTAAAGGAGAAAAAGAAAACTCACAAAAAATAAAAAGGAACAAACCCTGAAAATGGAGCAAAAGTAATGAAAATGAGCTTATAGGAAAAAAAAAACAGTGTAAAGGTTGAGCAGACACTAGAAATCCATTTACCCACAGTGCAGAAAGAAATTTACCAGCAAGGATTCAGAATCCTGCTGGGAAAGAAGTATAAAATTTGCATTAATGTGGGGAACTGTAACCCTCTTAGCAGGCATTGGATACTAAAAACTGTAAAAGGGGGAAAAAAAATCAAAGAGAGACTTTCAAAATTGACTTTCACATGAGATTTTCCTAGACACACAGAATATACAATAGTCAAAGACAGTTCATTTGAAAGTACACCGAAATTTACAAGGCACAATCTACCTCATTTTTTACACTGACCATCCGGTTTTCAACCATTTATTTTCCCCATACTTTTAAAATCCATTAAAAACAATGGCATTGATTATGAATTCACTGAAGAATAAGAAAAAGGAAATTAAAGGAAACATGTTTTAGTTCAAATATATTCTAAAAATAGGACCAGTGATATATTTTGATCATGACTGCACTACTTATCTATTGTTTTCTTTCCATACATTTTCTTTTTAAATGTCTTTTTATTATAAAGTAATAAAAGTTCATTAAAATATTTTGGAAAAACATTATTCAGGCCAGGTGGCGGTGGCTTATACCTATAAACCTAGCTACTCGGGAGGCCGAGATCAGGAGAATCATGGTTCGAAGCCAGTCTGGGCGAACAGTTCACCAGACCTTATCTCAAAAAAACCCTTCATAGAAAAGGGCTGGTGGAGTGTTCAAGGTGTAGACCCTGAGTTCAAGCCCCAGTACCACAAAAAAACAAAACCCACACATATAACTCAGAATACTACCACTTACAACAGTACTTCTGTTAATATTCTGGTATTATCTCCTTCCATTGATTTTGTTCATTTAATCATGAGACATAAACTTAATTAATTTACTTATTATTGTGTCTTGAGATACAGTCTCAAAACATTTGTTTTTAGTATCCCATGACTGTTATAGGATTACAGCTTCCCACTTTAATGCAAATTTTATACTTCCGTCCTACAGCTGGATTCTGAATCCTTGCTAGTAAAATTCTTTCTAAACTGTGGGTAAATGGATTTCCAGTGTCTCTTTTTTTTCTGTGATATCATTTGAGGCCAACACTGGACTCAAACTTGGAATGTTCCTGACTCAGCCTCTGAGTTCTGGAGACTATTACAGACATGTGCTACCAATGCCCAGGGCATTTATAATTTTATATTTTGATTTCCTCATTATATAAACCATCAACATTTTCAGGTTGCTACAAGTTTTCCTCAATATTATTTTAAGTGGCTATATAACATTCTGCCGCATAAATGTCTTACAATTTACTATAATGTGGTTTATTCAATAAAGGATTTGAGGTAGATCCATCAACTATACCTTTAGGAAAGGGGAGGGACTGGCAGAATGGCTGAAGTGGTAGAATGCTTGCCTAGCAAGTGAGGCCCTGAGTTCAAACTCGTTTCACACACACACACACACACAAAAAAGCACCCAACAAAAAACAAAACAAAAAAAGGGCTGCCAGACATGGCTCAAGTGGTGCCTAGCATGCTCAAGGGCTTGAGCTCAAATCCCATTCCAACAAAAATCAAAACAAACAAGCCCAATCTTCCCTCTCCCCCAAGAGAGGGGAAGTGGAAGAGAACAATTGCAGAAATCAATCAATAGTATTCTGTTGTCAAATAAGAAGTCAGTTAAATTGTAAGGTTTTTTTTTTTTTAAATGGTACAGAGGATTTAACCTGGGGCCTCACCCAAGGTAGACAAGCAAGCTGCCACTGAGTCACATTCCCACCCCTTTGTCTACCCACTTTTTTCCCCCACTTCATACTGAGGCTTGAACTCAGGGCCTACATCTTGAGGCACTCCACCAGACCGTGTATTTTGTAATGGGTTTTTTTCAAGTTAGGGTCTCTTGAACTATATGTCCAGGCTGTGCTACTTGATCCTTCAGATCTCTGCTTCCTGAGTAGCTAGGTTTACACCTGTGCCTGGCTTGTCTACCCACTTTTTTATGTACTCTCCAATGCACAGCTTTTCTGCCTTTATATAGTTTTTCTTACCCACAAAGCCATTTATTTTGCTAAAGGTATATACTTTCTGGTGAATGATCTATATTTGTGGACATACTTTACTGTATAAGAGTATGTTTATATTTCTATATACTATTCTTAGCCTATGTACTTGCATCTGTGTATGAGATGTTATTTATTGATTGTATTTCCGGATAAAAATGTATGTTAAAAAAGTAAGGTCAAGAGGATGGGGATGTCAAGCTAATCTGATATATGATAATAACTTTATATATATACATATATAATATTTTTGCTTATTTATATATTGGGGTTTCTGTTTTTCTTTTAGTAATACTGATGATATGAAGATAAAAATCCTTTGTCATAAATACTCTCAGTCAGTTAGCTATTTTTTGAAAAATTTCTTTCTTTTGTAGTGCTGGGGATTATATTCAGGGCGTGTCAAGCATGCAAGGCAAATGTTCTACCACTGAGCTACATCCCTACTCCTTTAAAAAAAAAAAAAAAAAAAGCTCTAGATCACTAGTTTTCTAAATAATGACACAATCTCAGATCTTGGCCAGTTCTAGAATTAATATGGATACAGTGACAAGGTATAGTACACCAGGTCAGCTGGAAATTCAAATGACCCACCATTTTTTTATCAGCAAGAAAAGAACAAAATTGGCAGGAGCTTCAGACTAGAGTGCAGATGAGACCCAAAGTGGGCTACCTGGCACACGCTACACATTTAGGTCATTTGGGTCTGTGGCAGACTGCTTCAAATCCTAACTCATAGTCAGCTCTCCTTTCAACTGGCACACACTGACAGCCCAGACTCTTTAGACTACATTCCTCATATAAGGCATATGGCCATATCTCAGGGCAATTACACATGACTGGAAGGTTGCTAGAATGTCACACTAAATCAGTGAGAAATAGCAATCCTTTTTCTTTAAATCTAGTATAGACACTAACACAGAGAAGATGGAAAATTTAGATTTTCACATCAGCTATGAAGAACAGGAATGTCTAAAACAATTAATTAAACCAACACATACCGGGTTTCGAAGAGGCTGCTGTTGGGACGGCCGATCCCTATGTGTGTGGCTTTCTCGAGTTACTGCAGATGCACCAGAATCTACATGAACTGACCCTACTGGAGTAGGCTAGAAAAATAAATAAATAAAATTTAAATGGGAAACCGAGTTCAACCTGATGTCTCTGTAAAAGACAGCAACATTCTAATTCTCATAGTAATTCTTTTCAAGATAATGTTTCATGTTATCTTGTTTTCTCAGTATGCTCATCTGCAAAAAGGGAGACAGTCTGGTCCTCAATAATTCTCTAAAGAACAGCTTACCTTCCAAGGTAATAAAAACCATCCTATAGCAATATCTATTACAATACTCTCTGGTTTTGTGAACCTCTGGCCAGAACAGTGAATCCAAGTTTCCAATGGTGTGGGTTCTACTCCAAAAGAAGTCTTTCACAGTGTATATAGCACCAACTTGTGAATCATTCAAATAAAACTTGGAAAAACAAAAACAAAAACAAACTGGCTTAAGCAGAGAGTGGTGGTGCATGCATGGAATTCTAGCACTTGCGAGGTGGAGGCAGAATTGTGAGTTTGAGGTCAGCCTGGGCTACATAGTGAGACCCTGTCTCAGAAAACCAAATGAATAAATAAATAAATAAAAAGAAATCCCAAGCCAATTAATCAAACAAACAAACAAAAAAACAAACTGGCTTAAATTCCAGTATCTCAGGATACAAAAGTTATAATCTTAAAAACATATTAACTCCTAATTCCTTACTCTCAAAGACCAATTTATGACCTCACCCTGAAAAGGCTTGTAATTGCAAAGTCTACAATCAAAGGAGAATTTCCCTGTTGAAGACTTAAGCAGAAAGACTGGCAAATAAAGAGGCCTTACTGGTTTGAGAAAGGAAGAATGGGGTGAAAAGAGGATACTTACAATAGGCCTCCCGACCCAATCATAGGCATAGTCAAAGGTGTAGCCTTTCCTTTCAAAAAGGTCTGTGAAGAGGGTCCGTAAATACTCATAATCAGGTTTTTCAAAGAAGTCTAATCGCCTGACATATCGAAGGTAGGTTGCCATCTCCTCTGTTAGGAAAGAGGTGAAAAGGTCATGCTTGTTACTAGAATGTTCCCATAGGGGTAATCTCTGGGTCATACAGAGATATTTGTAAAGACTGCTCGACACTAGTATTTTCTTTATGGAACATATAAAAATGATAAGGCTATCTTGGTCTAAATAACAATAAATGGAAATGTAAATTACGTGGATAGTGCCCTTATCTAGAGATACCAAGTCATGGACTCCACCTACTTCAAAGATTCAGTCATATTGGCTGTAGTATCCTTTTAGCATCCTACCTGGAAAGTTCTCACAGAGAGCTTCAATGGGAGTATTCCTTTTGGTATCACCAATTTTTTGATATCTCTCTTTTAATGTATCAGCCTATGAAAAGTAAAGAAAGAAAGTTACCTAAAAAGAGAGGCTAGGTGTAGGAGGTTCAATGTTTTTGGACACAGTGGATGTTGCATTTAAATTGGCAGGATGTGTTAGTCAATCTTAATTTTTTTTTCTAACATTAACAAATGAGAATATATTGAGATGCTGTGTTTAGATATGTGCAAATATTTGCTGCGTTCTACAAAGTTTACTTGGAATTGTATTTTAATAGTCTCAGATAGACATCATTAAATATGATGACATGAACAGCTAGGATAACAAAATATATATTATACAGCAGTATTTTCAAAGTTACAAACCTTAGTAACTTCCCATGGCAATTACATTTCAATTGTGATTCAGCCTTCTAACTATTTGATCGGCTCAAAGAAAGATTAGAAACAGTGTCTAATTCAAGTGAGGAAAACAGATACAGTCTCACACATTGAGAAACTGAACTGAAAAGAAGGACCACAAGTGAAAGGAAAAAAGAAAAAGCCTTTCAATGTGTTTCCATGTGGGGAAAAAAGTTATTTGTGGTATAGGCATGGCTCATAGACAGGTTTGGAGTGTCAGTGGCTCAAAGCAGTACAGAGTGTGGTATGCTTAGCACTGCAGATAGAGGGCTTCTGGCCTGTAGACCAGAGATTTTTATCAGACTCAACCTAGCCTACTTCACCCAGATTTAGGCAACAGTAATCTAATCAAAGTGGGACAGATTTTAAATCTACCACTACCGTTAAAATTGATTTGCAGAGCATAAGAGAGTATAAAGCAATTAATACTGTACACTAAAATATACTGTTTTTTGGGGGAGGGGAGGTGGCCCAAACAATGTATACACATATGAATAAATGTAAAAATGATTAAAAAATATATATATATATTGTTTGGCTACATGATGAGCAAGTAGGATGTGTAACTACTTGAAAGCTGTTGGGCTGGGGGCACAGCACTTGCTTAGCAAGCTCAAGGCCCTGGGTTCAATCCTTAGTACCACAAACATAAATAAAAGACACCATTAAAAAAAAAAAGAATGAAAAAAGAAAGCTGTTACTATGAGTGAGAAGGTGTATATGACTAAAAGAATGAGCTGTCAGGAGAGGAATTTAAGGTCAAAGAAATAAAATCTTGAGACTGGAGAGCTGGGGATATAACTCAGTGGTAAAGAACTTCTGCCTAGTATGTATGAGGTACCACTGAAATAGTTGGGGGCAGGTTACAGGGCAAAGGGTATAGAAGTCTTACTTTCTAGGATAATATCCTAGAGAGTGCAGCAAAATGAATCATTCTGCCCTTCTGGAGGAAGGGAATGTAGGAGTTGCCCAAGCTACGGATTAAATTTCTTTCTACACTAATATGCTGAAATAAATTGCAACTAAAAATATGTCTTACATTTACCTATCTACAAGGTTCTTAAGATGGATTAGAAACTCACCATTTCCTAGTCAATAGCCATGACACAATAATTATAATGGTTATAATTGTATTAATTGTTAACTCTGACACACAGGTCCTGTACTGCCTACTTGTTCAAATTACACATTTTATAAGGAATGGCTATTGTCTGAAAAGGTATTTATTCAATCACACATTTGAAAAGCAATGTTAAACCTAGATTTCATTTGGTCTAGGTAGGATGAACAAATACTTTCTAGTTCTCCTTAAGGGCATGCCCTACTGGCATTTCTGATAACAATGTAGCTAGCAGCTGCTGTCATCAATTTGTTCCAGAAATACCTTAACACCCTGGGAAACACTCCTCCCACTACACAGTGTTAGTGGAGGAGGGGTATCAATAGAGAGAGAATAGCAGCACTGCCAAGGCTGGGAGGGAAAGAAAGAAAAGATTATGGAAAATCCAAATACAAAGAAAGAATAATTAAGAATGTAAAGAAGTCTAATGTGAACAAAACACAGACTGCAAAGCCAGGTGAGCATTTACAATGCAGGACCAACGTAACTAATCCTCACTTCTCATCTATGTAGCAAATCTTCCCCATTGTGCTTCTTAGAGATTCCAAGCCATCAGCTCCTTCATTAACAACTGAGCAAAGAGACAAAGCTCTTTACTGAGTACTGTCAAAGTACCTTGAGTCCTTGCCAGGGTAGACTGCCTCGGAGGAAATACATGAACATATGGCCTAGAGCTTCCAAATCATCTCGCCGGCTTTGCTCTAAAAGGGAAGACAGAACACACATTACATTCGCAATTATTAAAGCAGAAAGAGGTTCAAACCCAACTAATCCCTTCCGAAACCCTGTGCTCTGGAAAGGCTCTGCTTACTAATTCTCTGTATATCTAAGCCAGGAACAGTACTTTAGATCAAAGCCAAAGAACAATGTGGACTTCCTTTGTCTATTACTGGCAAAGAAACAGCAATTGAAAAGAACAAATCCTAAATTAAAATCAAGCCCTAATCATTAAACAATGAGTAAACCACTCCTCACTCAATGTTGTTATCTACCTGAAAGTGAAATAATAAAAATGAAATGCTATTTCTAGAAAATAGGCTACAATACTCTCTGATAACACGAGAGAAAGTGAATAGCAGATTCAGCAGCTAACACTGTTAAAATAGTCCATTCTGGCTAGGCCTGCAAACACACGAGCTGCAGAATGCTTGGCATACATGCTTAGCAATTTTCATTCATCATAAAAATTAACACTTAACATTCAGTTTCATATAAGCAAACATCAATGCATCACTTCTTAGTTCACATTTCTCCATGTCCCATAATCAAATTTAAAGTTCAATACTAAGGTGCCCTCTGTGGGCACATAAAACAAGGGTCTGCACATCTTTATAACTTAACTAAAACAAGTTGCTGGGGTTTTCTTTCCTTTGAGTTAGGAAGATGAATTGTTAACTGCAGAATAGGTAATAAAAATTTTGCAATTTCATCTCAGAAAACATCTTTTACATTCTTTAGATGTCAGACTGAATATTAGCACATGCTTCTATTTCTAATTTGCTAATTTTGGTTATTGTAGACATTTTATGTGTTTATTTCTCTAAAGTTTAGGGTTTTATCCAAAGAAATTACATAAGCAATGCCAAGCGGCTACCACTACTTTTTTTTTTTTTTTGGTCTGGTACTGGGCTTGAACTCAGCGCCTAACGCTTACTAGGCAGGCGCTCTATCACTTGAGCCAGTCCACCAGGCTTTTTGTGTTGGGTATATATGGAGACAAGTTCTTACAAACTATCTGCCCAGGACTACTTTCGAACCACATTCCTCTTGATCTCTGCCTCCTCAGTAGCTAGGATTATAGGTGTGAGCCAAAGGTGCTGCCATTTTTTTTTTAATTTAAAACAGGGTCTCGTTATGCAGCATAGGTTGGCCTGGAAATTGATATATAGCTCAGGCTGGCCTACCATTCAAAATCTTCCTGCTTTTGCCTTCCAAATGCTGGGTTTACAGATGTGTACCACTACTTGCCAAGTACTACCTTCAATTTGTGTGTATTTGTGTGTGTGTGTGTGTGTGTGTGTGTGTGTGTGTGTATAGAAGGTAAAATCCAAGACTGCCACATAGGCAAGGAACGCAACTGAACTAACTTGAGAAATACAGAAGCACTGGTTAACTGCTGCATCAAATTTTGGGAAATTTGCGTAAGAAAGCATGACTAGTACTCTACATAGTAGATAAAGAAAGAAAAGGCAACTTTCTAAGTAGCAGTTTGAAGGAGGGTTTTAAAAATGAAAGAGAGCATCCATGACTGGGGATATAGCTCAGTAACAGAGGATATGCTTACCATGCACAAGGTTCTGAGTTCACTCCTCAGTGTTAAACATGGGAAAGAAATGAAGGAAGGCACCTCCACAGAAAGATAAATGATACCAAGGCTGGTTAAAATCAAGCAAAATAATCTTAAAAAGAAAATGAAATAGGGGCTCAAGTGGAAGAGTACCTGCCTAGCAAGTGTGAGGCCCTGAGTGCAAACCCCAGTACTGCCCTCCCCTCCCCCCCAAAAATGAAATAAACAGCAAGATCTACAGATGCTTTTGTCTACATAGGTTGTCTGAAGGTTGCAATAAATACTAAATATAATTGAAAACAAAACCAATTATACAAAAACTGTTAACAGAACACGAAGACACACAAATGAAGGGATGAGTTGAACCCTCCCATAAAGAAGAGCAGAAAAAGAAACCATACTGCATTTTCTCACACTGTATCATGCATATTCATCACCTCTATATTTTTATATCCACTTTTTTGTAATAAGAGGTTCCCCTGGTAATTTAAAACAAAACAAAAAAATCACCAAATGTTTAAATTTTAGTTAGTTGAGCACTAGAGGGCGAACTGACCACATTTTCAGTATTAGGACATGCAAGGGGTGAAGAGGGGGAAGATTTCTCTCCATAGCAAAGCCAATTATAAAATGAAATTTAAAAAAATTCAAACTCACTGGAATAATAAAGTAAATTTTAAAATACTGAGAACCATAAGAAACAGCTGTGGAATAAAGGGATAACAGGAAGAAGAATGGTTCCTCTGTCAGGTCAATGACAGAGGTTTTGGCTCACCCTTTCCATTAATTTAATCTAGTGAAATTAAGCATGACCAAGTCACCTATATTGGGTTTTAATTTCCTCATCTGACAACAGTCAATTTAGATAACGTGAAAAATAATTTTCCAGCAACTGATGACAAACCATTAGGGCTTTAAAAAAAGAAGAGTAAACCAGAGCATGCTTTCTTTCCACACTTTCAACACTTCACACTTGTTCAACTCATTATTTCCACATGTCCTCCTCACTTATTCATGGAGGATATTCGCAAAGAAGAAAGGTTTCAACACCAGTGAAATCAGTAGGAGACAAAATTCTTCAACACTATAAAGGCTTGCTTTCGACAATCAGAAAGATGTGCTTGGTTTACATGCATTATATCCCTCATTTTAAGTTAAATGTATTTGGTAGAAAGAAATGTAACCCAGTGTTCTGGCTCTAATTTCAATCATGAAATAAACAAACTGGGCTGTCTCAATCAGGGTTAATCAGTGAGAATGTGGTTCATCTGAAACAGCAGCTCTCTCCAATCATTTGACATTTTCCAGTCTTTTTTCCCATCCTTACAGCATAAAAGATGCAACACATTTCCAAACCAATTACATTAGAGTTCCTGTGAAAATCTCTCTGGTTTGACACTAGAGACACAGTTTAAAGGGCAGCAACACCCTTAATAAGTAGTCTCTGCAACACGGAGAGTACAAAATACAGTGACTGGTTGGATCTGACCTGAAAAACTTTGGAACTCAGGAAGCGCAAGTGTGGATATAAACTCAAAGTTCTAGTAGGAATGGCAGAACAAGAGATGAAGACCCTACTCTGATACACAGTAGATGCTTAAAACATGTCTTGTTGAATTAATTCTAATGAGGATAACTAGCATATGGAGTGGACTTACTATTATCAGGTACCAGACTAAATACTTTATATACATTATCCCACAGAACCCTGTTACAGGGATTAGTATCATACCAATTTTATAGATGAAATAACCAAAGCTGTGGAAGGAAGTCTATTGGACCAAAATCACAATTATTAGGAAGAGGCAGGATTTTTCTATTTCTTTTTTTGGCAGTACTGGAATTTGAACTAGGACCTCATGCTTGCTAGGCAGGCACTCTACCACTTGAGTCACTCTGAAAGCCCTTTTTTTGTGTTAGTTATTTTCAAGATAGGGTTTTTCGAACTATTTGCCTGGGCTGGCCTTGAACTGCGATCCTGATGATCTCTGCCTCCCAAGTAGCTAGGATTACAGGCATAAGCCACCAGTGCCTGGCTGTATCCCTTTTTCTTAACCATGCCGTACCTTATACAAACTAAAGTGGATATTCATCCCTTGTCTTTTCTTAACTTTTCTGACATAATAAATCGAGTACATGAGCACAGAAAGCAGGGATTAAAACAACAACCTCTAGAGTTTGTAAATTAAACCAAAAACCATGATTTCACTACAAGATACAGTCTTTTTGTAAAAAGGAAGATTACGTGTCATAATGAAGGAGGAAGGGGATGTTGAGAACTTTCTGAGACCTGTGTTTGATGTTATTATGGTTTGCATGGTATGTTTCTGCTAAAATTGATGTTGAAATTCAGTTGCCAATATAGTGGTATTAGGAGGTCAGCCTTTAAGAGGGAATAATGTCTTTCTTGTGAGACTGGATTATGTCTTGGGTTACTTCTCTTGAGAGTGGATTATTAGAAAGTGGCCCCTTTCTTCTCTTTCTTTTTCACATGTGCCCCTTACCACTCTAGCCTGTGCTTTGCCATGTGATGACCATGTCATGTTATGATGCAGCATGAGACCCTTGCCATATGAAGTCACCTGATCTTGAACTTTACTTTTTCCAGAACTCTGAGCTAAATAAACCCCCTTTCTTATAAGTTATCCAATTTTAGGTATTCTGTTACAGCAAAAGAAAATGGACTAGGACAGGGATGAGTACTGTCTATACTCAATCCTCAAAGCATCCTTCTAAAACATTACTCTCGTTTTACAGATAGGGTTCAAGAAGATTAAGTAACTCTTCTGAAGTGACAATGAGGACTTTCTAGTCTAATTTTAAAGTATCACATTTATAAAGGAAGGATTTTTATGTGGTTACTGAAAAAGTCCTGCTAGCATTCAAGATTTCAATTTAAGTTTTATCATACTACTTTGTAATGTCATTTTTATTCTTCACTATAACTGGAAATCCTCATGTGAACACCTGTGTAATTTACTTGATGAGGGAACTTAGTAAAAATCATATTAGTCTTTAAAATGTCTATTAGTGTGTAATAGTCATTAACATTTAAAAACTTCATATAATCAGCTATGCCAGGGAGTATGGAACCTGATAATATTCTGTTTATACATGATGTTGATTTTCATATATATTTTTCAATTACCTAGGAACCTTTTCTTCAAACAGAATCTTCTGTGGAAGCCCAATATCTAAAACAAATAAAAAGGGAAGCTTTTTTTTTTAAAGGGAAGCTTTATTTGAGAAGCTGGAAAGGGGCCCACAGTTCTTCCTGTTTGGCCTCCCTAATGTCCCTTAGGTTTCTCTCACAAATATTTTTTCTTGGACTAGCTCCTCTAATGAATAAAGTCTTCTGTCTTAATTAGAGCTTCTAGTAATATGTGTATAGAATGTTCATCCCTAATAAAATATAAGACTCATGGTAAAGCAAATATATTTTCATTGAATAAGAGAAGCTCTGAAGAATTATATATTTATTACACACTGTAAAAAGAAACCTAGCCCATGTTTAAATGAAGCCCTCTTCCCCAATTGAGAGATCAGACCAATGTCTTTCTCAGGATTGTCATATACTGGGTTATACACATGAAGATAACTCAATCATTTATTAAACTCATTCAAATATTATCACTTTGTTACAGTAATTTAAGTTCTCACACCACTGAGAAACTAAGTATCAAGAAGCATATTGTAAAGAATTAAGATACTTGAGAAAGTCTTTAACTTACCATTTTAACTTCTCAAGTATAATAATCACTTACCTTGGGCTGGGGATGCAGCTCAGTTTTACAGCGCTTGTTGAGCATGCGCAAGGTCCTGAGTTCAATCCCCAGCACCACGGGGGAGAGGGGGTGGGAAAAGAAAGAAAAAAAAAATCACTTACCTTGTGAAGCAACAAGTACTACAAGTTGTAACGTACAATGGGGATAAAAGTGTTACTGGAATAGAAAGTTGTTCAAATGACCTGCTCCTTTCATGGAGCAGTAAATAAACACACCTTTGCCAAGATGCGTGTTGATAGACATGTATCTTGCAGTTCCAGTTAAACTTTTGTGCTCCCTATAAGGTATGTGTTTTTTGGTTTCAGGATCAATGTATTCCTTGGCCAGTCCAAAGTCTATAATGTGTATAACATGTTCTTTCTTATTGCCTTGTCGACCAATCAGGAAGTTCTCTGGCTTAACATCTCGGTAAATGAGATTCTTTGAGTGTACATATTCCATTCGAGAAAGCTAAAAGAGGAAAAAAAACAAAAACAAAACCACAGAACTATTTTAAGTAAGTATATTGGGGAAAAAAATCAAAACAATTTCTTTTCCTTTTTTAGTTTTTACTGATGCTGTTATTGTTTTTTGCTTCAGTATGTGAAACAGAATGTTCTTGAACTCCTAGGCTCAAGTAATCCTCCCACCTCAGCCTCCCAGTTACGGCAGTACCGGTGTACCATTGTGTCTGGTTTAGCATAAAGTTTTAATCACTAAAATAAAAATAAATTGGACATGGTGGTGCATACCTGTAATCCCCAGCTACTTGAGAGGTGGAAGATCAAGAGGATTGTGATTCTAGACCAGCCCAGGCAAAAAAAAAAAAAACCCTGCAAGACTCTATCTGAAAAATAGCTACAGCAAAAAGGCTGGAGGTGTGGCTCAAGTGGTAGAGCACCTTCCTAGCAAGTGTGAAGCCCTGAGTTTAAACCCCAGTATCATTAAAAAAAATAAGTAATAAACTCATTTCTTTTACCACCTACTTTACTGACATATAAACCAAAAAATATTTTCTGCTAGAAATACATACAACAACCATCAAGATTAAGAAAAGAAAAGTGTGATAATACAGTTGGCTAAAGTGATAATGTAAGTTTACCTTATACTGTCACAATAGGCAAATGGTGAATGGGATTAGTTGTTTATATGCTACTTCTTAAAGTAAATATTTGAGAGAAAAGAAGTATTCCCAGGTAGGATGTCACTGCCACATTCATATCCTGCTCATACTGTAGCCCTCAACTGGACAAAAGTCCAGCTCTCATTGTTATAAAAATTCTAAGAAAAGTTAAGGCCTACAGAATTTAATATGGCCTGATATCAGAGTTAGTCAGTAGGAGAAAGAGGACTACAGTTTTTCCCTTTTTTGGGGCGGCACTAGAGTTTGAACTCAGGGCCTTACCCTAAAGAGGGCAGTTTTTGCCAGTACTGGGTTTTGTACTCAGGACACTTGCTAGACAGGTGCTCTACCACTTGAGCCTCTCTGCCAGCTATAGGACTATAGTTTTTATTTTACAGTAAATATAAGAAGTAAGCAACACTTTCTCAAATTTCATTAAATATTTCTACTTACAAGGCTTTTTTTTTTTTTTTTCTACTTACAAGGCTCCAGTAAGTTTTTACTGGAGGATGGTCTCGAGACTATCATCATTTCAAACAAATAAAGATGTATCTAAATCCTTCCCCTGAGGACCTCACAAACTTCTCAAAGGAACTGTTGCAACCACTCCTTAAACTGCTATCAGTGTGTAATTTGGTGGGAACTCTTAAGAGCTGCCTCTTAGCCAGCCCAAAGAGTATAATATGCCAGAGAACTAAGGAAAATTTTTGGTCTTACAACTCTGAAGGAGGGTTAGTGCAGTATGTTGCTGTCAATCTTTTCTAATTTGCAACTGTGTGAACTTGTTTAAAATCTACTATAAATAAAATAATGAAGAAATTATTTGAATTTGTCCAGCTCCACCTAATCATCCTCTTTCTCCCTAATGTAAATTATATGCTTCCACTTCAGTTAAGGGCAGAATATTGCTCCATGATACAAACTCTTAAAACAGAGAAAACTGCAGATACAGTGTGACTTCTCTGAGTTAAATTTTTTTTGCCCCAAAATGCTACCAATTGTGCAATAACTAATTAATAAGTGTCACTACAGCTAGTAAATCACCAAAACACACAAAAGGAGGTGTGGTTGGGGGAGCTGCCTACCTTCTGGAATAGCAAAACTTACCAACTGGATGGCTATCATTAACACCGTCTTCAAAGTAAATGTTCGGTCACAGAGGTCAAACAAGTCCTCCAAGCTAGGGCCGAGGAGCTCCAGCACCATGGCATTGTATTTCCCACATGGCCCAAAGTAGTATACCTGTGGGAGACCTTCACCTGAAAGCAGAAGGGAAAAGGGTGGGAAACAGGAAAACCAAAACATGAGACAATAAAGTATAATTTGTGAGGTTTTTCCATTTCCTTTCACAGTCCCTACTAGAAAAGTTAAATTGAGCACAATAGCATCAATAGGAACTATTAAGAGGTGGAACACAGTATGTTCAAATGAGCAGTTATTTAATACTAGATTTCCAAAGGTACTACTATATAAGAGAAAACAGTGTATGATCCATTATTAGATCAGAGAGTAAACTATTTTTCACAAAGGATGCCTGAAAGTGCAATATTATAAAAGGTTCAAAGGATGGCTTAATGAAGCTCAAAGGCCAGACTAACAGACCTTGTCACATTACCTAATTTCATTACCACTTCCTATGCTTACCACCAAAGCCACAGGAGCTATTTGCAACTATCACCCCACAAAGAATTCAGATTGAATGCATGAGGTCAAAGAAGGTGCAGCCTGCCCCTAGACCAGCTCAACTGGCTCTCTTCTCAGGAGGAGTCTCTGTAGTGTTCTGTTTTCTATCAGCTGGAAAAGTCAGCAGACACTTAGCATTTGGCTGCTGATAAATAATTACAAAAGGAAAAGAGGAAAGAAACCACCATCAATAACAATAAAGCTGGATTTCCTCAGATTTGAAACTCATAGCTATAACAAGCCAAAATGTAGACTTTCTCACATAAATGGCAATTTGTGAATAAATTTCATCCTTAAAGTGCACTGTAAATAATGAGGCATTCAGTGAATATGTGTTAAACTGCACCATAAGAACAGTGGATATTTAGGAAACTACAGAACACTTTAAAAACTTATCCTGTTCTCATAGAGCAGAAACATTTCCTTATCACACATTTATGTATATCATGGTCTACAGCTGTATATGCTGTCAATTGCTTTTGCTTCTAAGTTTTTTGTGGTTTCTTTTTGGCAGTAATGGGTTTGAACTCAGAGTTTCGCACTTGCTAGGCAGGCGCTCTACTGCTTGAGCCATGTCTCCAGCTTCCAAGATTTTAGACAACAAAATTCTCTCCATCTTTCCATTCTCTTTTTATTTGTATGGGTGAAATATAGGCAGAGATAATGCATACCCAATGTATCTTTTCCCAAGGGAAGGTCTTACATATCTGGAGTTAATGTGATTCATTGGTGTGGTATATGCATATTAACTATTTCACATACTGTATTAATCTATCTTGTTCCACCGGGTGCCAGTGGCTCACGCCTATAATGCTAGCTACTCAGGAGGCAGAGATCAGGAGGATCACGGTTCAATCTTGTTCAGCTTAAATACTGAACAACTTGAGTATTTTCTTTCAACTTTTTTTTTTTTTTTTTTTTTTGCAGTACTGGGGTTTGAACTTAAGAGCCTACACCTTGAACCAATCCACAGCCCTTTTTTGTGATGGTTTTTTTCAACATAGGGTCTCAGGAACTATTTGCCTGGGCTGGCTTTGAACTGTGATCCTCCTGATTTCTTCCTTCCGAGTAGCTAGTATCACCAAAAAAAATAGCTATGGTAGAGTCTGTTGGTTGCCTACCCAACATCCATTCTCCCATCATCTCTATTTAATAACAGAACTTCTGTTGCAAAAAGCAGCTTCCATTTCTAGCTTCCCTTGACAATAGGAATCACCAATGAGATAGATGCAGAAGAAATCAATGAGTGGGGTGGTTCTAGGAAAGTTGTTTTAAGAAAGCTGACTCAAGAGAGGGGTATGGGGCTGGTGGAATGGCTCACGTAAGAGGACAAGCCTAGCAAATGTGAGGCCCTGAGTTTAAACTCCAGTGCCAACAACAACAACAAAAAAGTAATAAAAAAAGAGGGAGGTATGTCCCTTTGGTGTATCAAAAGCCATCTGGAATTATCAGGTACAATGAGGATGTAAGTTAGTGCCAAGAGTAGAGTGAAAAGGAGAAGAACCTGAGCACCTGATGGCTGTAGAGTAACCATACCAATGCCGGAATTATCTTCTTTCTGGATTTTTATTTTCAATCTCTTACTTGACTGAATTACATGAACTGAAATCATTTGTTTTTTTCTTTAACAGCCAAATCTAATCCTACTTAATAAACACATTACCTCTTTACTGGCTAAACTGGAAGTTTGGGCACAATATCTCTTTCTAGAGTAGAAGTTAAAAAGTCAGTCCTGCTTAGAAATATAATATTGGCATAATATCTTAGATTTACTGCCAATTCCTTCTTTTTTTTTTTTTTTTTTCTTTTTGGCGGCATGGGGGTTTGAGCTCAGAGCCTCAAGCTTCCCAGGCAGGCGCTCTACCATTTGAGCCACTTCACTTAGCTCACTGCCAATTCTTAAGCATCAATTAAAATGAGACATATGATCTTCTTGTTCTCAAAAATCTTCAATATTAAATCTAGGCATCTCTTTCCAGAAGTTTCAAAGTTTATGAAGAACTCACAAAAGTATTATGGGTAATGTCTATAATTTCAATTACAATGCCCACACTTTTGCCTAGGAACTTCAAAGAATGAGGAGTTCTTTTTTTGTTGTTGTTGTGATACTGGGGATTGAACTCAGGGTGTCATGCATGTGAGGCACTAAACACTGAGCTATATTACCCAGCCCGAATGAGGAATCTTGATTGCTGCCTTATTGCTTTTATTAAGAAACCTGAAATCTCAACAAGGTCCCTCCAACCCCACCACAGGTGCTAGGATTCTCAAGACACTTCTAGGTCACTGAATGGCTTTAAAACATTTCTGGGAGAGGCACTATGTCCAAAATATCACTATAGAAGTCAGAGTTTTAGATCTAGTATTTGCTTCTGCTACCATCTTTGGCAAGTTCCTTTGCCCCTCTCTGTGTATTGGTTTTTCTTAATCTAAGAGTGGAGGGATTAAAACTGGTTCCTTTTAAAATCCAAATTCTGATTAATGCTAAGATTTCCTTCTAGCTACCTTGTAGATTTCTCTTTGTAAAGCCACAAAATCAGTATGAATGAAACTCACCTCCATGTTACATGGATTATGTGTGGCATCAATTCAAATATAAACTGACATTGGTTATTTAACTGAAAGCGTGTTTATTAGAAATATACACGCCAAAACAAAGCCAAAAACAGATGGAGTGACTTTACTTCACACCTGTTGAATTAGAATTCTGAGGAGTGAAAGCAAATATAACTCCACAAGTGAAAGACAACCTCAGCTAGAAAACTCCACATTTAGAGAGCAGTAATAAAAGGCATTGTGTTCCTTTATGATAATACATTACAAAGACTCAGAAAACACTGATAAACCAGTCCTTTTCAGTAGTTCATTCAGATCAGAACTGGACTCAATACCTTTTGAAGGGAGTAATTTTAAAGTTAAAAGACTTCAGTTCAAAGTTTATTAGGTATCACAGAAATGTGCTGTCAAGTATGAAAATTTCTTGAGGAAAGGTAGTTGGAATTTATTAGAACTGTCTGTATAGAAAAGTGCCCACACAAATGCTATTCTGTGCTTTTTTTTTTTTTTTAACATGACTGCCACAAAGTAGCTGGTCTTTTACCACCAGCACTCTTTATTTAGACATTACCACACAGTAATGGCGGTATTTAAATGAACAATCCTGTGTGTTTCACTCTTCTTTTGTACAGCCTCCTCTAATCCACTGCGAAAGAAAATTTAAATGGCCGGCGGGCGGGGCGGGGTGGGGGGTGGCCCAAATAATATATACACATGTAAGTAAATGTAAAAATGATAAAATAAAATTTAAAAAAAGGAAAATTTAATTAACAGCATGCTGTGGACTTCTTTAATAAGACTAGTGGTGGGTTCAGAGCCTTAAATACAACACAAGCTATATATGTGGTAAACAAGGTACTTCTTAAAAATAATTATGAAGGAATGGGATGAGAAAGTTGGGGAAGGTAGGTATGTGCTGGATTCTTTGACTTATGGTATATCAGAAACTAAGGTAGTGTAATAATCTCCCATTTGCTTTGGAAATAATGCATTAATGAGGTCTACCACCTAAATTGGTAAACTGCATAGAAGCAGTTTAATCTTAGGTTAACTCACAAACCCAAACTGTAAGGTTATATATATACACATTACACATGCTATTTTATATATTTTTCCTGAGTACTATGCATCTATCAATAGCATATTCTTATAAGCCCTGCTGGACATATGGCTCACACATTTATCAAGTTGCATAGAACAGGAAGCAAGGTGTATAACACTACAGCTAATTTTCAGTGTGTTGTAAATTTAAATTGGGTTAAATATACCATACCAAGGTTAATGGCTTCTTTATCATCCAAGCTGCTACCAAAAAAGATTCCATAATGCATTATGAACAGTAACTACTGTATGTAAAGGTATTTTTAAACACCCATCAGGCTGAGAACTGAAATAGAACCACCTTGAAGTTTTTGGTAATTTGATCATATTATTGTCTAATAATTAGCCTTTCATTCTTCATTTTTAAAATATCTAATTGCAAAGCAAATTCAAATGAACCTTATATCTACAATGACATCTAGGTATAAAAAGTAAGGTATTAATAATTCAATATAAAAAAAAAATCAGTAAATGTTGGTGATGATAGTCTTCTAAAGTCAGGCTAGAGAACACTTTGAAGGATACAATGACCTTGGCTTGCTTTGTTTAAAAAGTTTTATAAGGCTTTAAAGAAAATAGGGAAGTTAGGCAATAGTGGCTCATGCCGGTAATCCTAGCTACTTGGAAGACTGAGATTGGGAGGATCTGGGTTCAAGGCCAGCCTAGGGAAATAATTCGCAAGACCCCCTCTCCAAAATAACTAAAGCAAAATGGAGAGTACTTGCCTTGTAAGCTCAAAGCTGGAGTTTAAACCCCAGTGCCCGCCCTCCCCCCCCCAAAAAAAAAGTTTTCCTCCAGAATTAAAATTAAACTTTTTCTCTTCTTGGTCCCAATGGTAGTGGCTTCTAGCACAACTACAAATGTTCTATAATGTTTAAGAGGGAAGAGAAGCCAGGTGCTGGTGGCTCATGTCTGTAATTCTAGCTACTACAGAGGTAGAGATCAGGAGGATCGAGGTTCAAGACCAGCCCAGAAAATAGGTAGAGAGACCCTATCTGGAAAATACCCAGAAAAAGGGCTGGTGGAGTGGCTCAAGTGGTAGAGTGCCTGCCTAGTAAGCACAAGGCCCTGAGTTCAAACCTGAGAACTTCCACAAAAAAAAAAAAAAAAAAAAAAAGAGAGAGAGACAGAGAGAAAGAAGGTAATTGCCAGTACCTGGGAATTAGCCTTAGGGAAACCAGTAATATTAAATATGTATGCCTAACAAGAGAGCAGAAAGATTAAACTAATATTCCATATGAAGTAGGGAAAGGAAAAAATGAAATTAAAACTAGAAAATAACTATGAAAACAATGCATTATCATAAAGACAGAAGAAAAGAGTATTTCTTTAAAAAAAAATTCTTTTCATTTCTCTGACTCTGAAAAATGCCTCTCTCTACAATATGAACCAGTTCACCACATGGATCTATTCAAAATGCTGCTTCAATAATAAAAACAGCTTGACCCAGAATTGAGAAATCAGGATTACTATTCCTAGAATGAAAAATGCTTTGCAATCATCTTGTTCACAGGCCTCTTGAGACCTGGAATATTGATACATATATGCCACTGACATGAGCTCAAAATTGGTGGAAAAAGAGGTGGTGAAAAAAGGCAAGAGCAGAGGAAAAATCTCACATTTCTAAGTCATAGAAATTGAGCTTTTACAGATCTACTGTTCACTGATACACAATCCATTAAGTCTTTCAGTCTTAAAGCAGGTTCCAAATTTTCTTTATCCAAAGGGATCAGGAGAGAAAGCCCAAGACAGCACAGATTTCTTCTGTAGTGGATAGCATCAAAGACAAAAACTTAAAAAAAAAAAAAAAGTGCTATTACAGTGGGGCATGGTGATGCATGTCTGTAATCCCAGCATTTGGAAGGCTGGAAAGATTTGAGTTCAAGGCCAGTCTGGGATATACATCAAGACCCTCCCTCAAAATAACAAAAGACAAATAAAAATGTGTGCTGTGTACTAGAGGTAGGGAAGGGACAGAAGAGAGGTCCTTTCTCTTTTCAGAAAAGAATAACACAGTTCACCTGAGTAACAGACTAACTGTATTTAGCTGGTAAATTTATAAGGTTAAAAAAGCAGTGGTTCATGCCTGTAATCCCTAGTTACTTGGGAGGTTGAGAGAGGGAGGATCACAGTTTGAGGCCATCCAGGGCAAATAGTTTGCAAGACCCCATCTCCAAAATAACCAGAGCAAAATGGACTGGAGATGTGGTTCAAGCATGAAGCCCTGAGTTCAAACCCCAGTCTCACCAAAAAACAAACAAAATCCAGTATCTGAAATTTTTCCAAGTTCCTTAGTATTATGGTTCCTGTGATTACGTTATAAAGACAGAATATCAACTGGGAGCCGGTGGCTTACACCTGCAATCCTAGCTACTCAGGAAACAGAGATCAGGAGGATCACAATTTCAAGCCAGTTCATGAGATCCTATCTCGAAAAATCCCATCACAAAAAAGTCTGGTGGAGTGGCTTGAGTTCAAACCTTAGTATCACAAAAACAAAAATAACAACAATATCTAATGAATTTCAAAAGGTACCCCAAAATGCCTGATTCTTCTTAACAACCAAAAAGTTAAGACAATTCTAGCAAGCATTCAAAAGAAATGAAAAGAAAAAAATTGAGACTACCCAAGTACAATGATACCCCTTTCTAACAGTCCTGCTCCATTCCCACTATATTTTATTTATCCATGTATCTGTTTTCTCTACAAACAGAAGCCTATTTGAAGGCAGTGACTATAATGTATTAATTATATTTGTATGTCAGCATATAGCACTGGTCCAAGCATATGGTCAGTATGGGAATAAGTACTAAATAATACAACTCAATTATGACACTGGAGTTTTCGATTTGGAATGCATACTTCCCATAAAATGCTAAAATGAGCACACACATATAGAGCAAAACAAACTCCTTGGTAGATTTTAAATGTTCAAGGAATGCTAACACAATGGATTTTTCTGAGTTCATGTTTGCATTTCATTGAATAAAAAAAAGCTCTTTTGGGCAACCCACAAGTAGGAAGATTCCCAGTAATTCAGAGTTGCAAGATTTCTATACTGACTTTCTTCTTTGTGTTTTCTTCCATGATGGTTATTTATAGTATCTACAGTTCTATCTTGCTGTGTCCACATGTAAGTGAATAACCCTATGTAGAATTACTCATTTTAGTTAATAGCACTGAAAGCTAAACATAAACAAACGTCTTCCTCTCTCTTAAAGCAGCACCTGAGGAGTTGTACACAATGGAACACACCTGTAATCCCAGTTTTTGGAGGCTGAGGCAGGAAAATCTTCAGTTTTAGGCTGGCCTAACATAGTGAAACTCTGTCCCAAAAATAAAACAAAAAACAAATAAGCCAGGTGCCAGTGGCTTGTGCCTATAATCCTAGCTACCATTCAAAGCCAGCCCCAGCAAAAAGGGAAACCCTGTATCAAGAATGCCCAACACAAAAGAGGTCTGATGGAGTGGTTCAAGCAGAACCCTTGCTTAGCAAACATAAGACCCTGAATTCAAGCCCCAGTACCACAAAAATTAAAAAATAACCTAGCACCTGCCCCATGTAAACAGATTTAAGTGACCAAAAAAATCAGTCCTCTGAGTTGACTAATAATAAGGAAATCTGATTACATCTTCTATCCTTTTCTTGTCCCCATCTACTTACCAATTCATTATTTGGTCCTAACTTGATCTTTTATTTACTTAAACAGCCCTTTCCCATCTCACTGTAATCTCAGTCATTATATGAAGGAAAAAAAGGGAAGGTAAAAGCCTATTTTAGAGATGGAACAAAATGCTGAGAAATTTTATGTGATCTTTCCTAGGTAACAGGATTCCAAAATAATAAAACAGATCTCTCAACTCCACTTTCAGTGCTCTCTTTCCTACACTAAGCTCTGTGTAGTTGCCAAAGTTTACCCTTCACCTCTTCTAGCAATTCTTCTTCACCTTTTCAGAATATAATCTCCCTTCCCCTACCCCAACATTGCTTTGAAGTCAGCTTGCTCTGTCCTACCTTATTTTTCTTTTCTTTTTTTTTGGTAGGGCTGAGGTTTGAACTCAGAACTTCTGCACTTACAAAACAGCTCTACTGCTTGAGCCACTCCTCCAGTCCATTTTTACTCTGGTTATTTTGAAGATGGAGTCTTGAGGACTATGCCAGGCTGGCCTGGAACTGAGATCTCCCCATCTCAGCTTCCCAAGTAGCTAGGATTAAAGTTGTGAACTATAGGAGCCTGGCTTTTCTTTTCTTTTATTTATTTTTCCATTATTCCTATATCAGCTCCATGAATACTGTCTTTTCACATTTCCTATATATATCAGCTTCTCTGCAGTTCTCAAGTCTTGTCAATTCCACTCCCTGATCTGGAACAAGGCCCCCTAGAGCATCACTGCTTTAATAGATATATGTATATACATATAATATACACACAAAATAGTATATATGTATCTGTGTGTACATATATGAATATTGAATATATATATATATCTGAATTACCAAACATAATAGCAAACCAAAGCAGCACAAAATATATGAAGAAAAACTTCACAAACAGTAAGGGTGCATGACTAAGAACCCTGCATTACAACTTTATCTTTAATTTAAAGCTGTATAATGGACATCGCTTTGTAGCTGACACATGGATTTACTTCACTCATTCTAATAGCTACATAGTATTCCATCATATAATATGCCATATTTGAGGGCATTTAGATACTTTCCACACATTAGTTATCAGAAATGGACATTATAGTTAACAGCTATTGTTTTTGGCTGGCCTACATCTTTTTCTTCCTTCTGATAACCTTACTCTTCTAGTGGAAAGTAGCATTTCCTCAATGTTACTTCATGTGGTTAAGTCGACCCATTTCCCATTGCCTACACATGGATGTGACTTAAATGAGGTAGTAATCAGAATATTCTATTTGTCTGCCAGAGGAACTGTATCAGGGAAGGGTACTTGATCCACGTCGGTACAATGAGAGTCAACTTTAGGACAATGATGGGATTATAGAGAAGGAAAATCCTCCCTCTCTTTTCTTTTTTCTCTGATTGCTAAACTGGAAGGAGCTTATTCTAGAGCCACTAGGTCCATATGGAGAGAGCAAATAGAAAGAAGAGCTGAGAGAAAAAGAGAGATAAATATACTACTTCCTTGAAGGACATTGTTGGTTCTGGATCTAGCTGGCCTGAGGTAAGAATATAATATAGTCCTTATCTGTGGAGGATACATTCCAAGATCCAGTGAATAATGCCTGAAGCCAAGGATAGCACTGGAATATCAATAGCTGAACTGATAACTGAGATGGCTACAAAGTGACTAAGGGGCAAGTAGTGTATCAGCATGAATAAACTGGACATTTCAGTGCAAGTTTTCATCATACTATGCAGAATCTTGGGCAATTTAAAATTTAAGAAAAGTTTATTTATGGAGTTTTGCATTTAATATTTTCAGACCACGGATTATTGAAGTTGCAGAAAGTGAAAATATGAATAAGGGAGGACACTACTGTATTGCTCATTTCTCAGTCTGGTAAGCCAAGAAATTCTTCCTCTTTACTGAGTAAGAACTGGAGACTACTAGCTTTAAAATGCAAGCATTCATATAAAATCCTTGCTCTTAAATTTTTGGGCATATATGTAAATGTGTCTTGAAGATGAATTTCTTGAAGAGAAAGTGCTGAGTCAAGGGGTATATATATTTAACATTTTAGCATATGTGCAAGTCAGTTTTGCAACACTGTGACAAAGTATCTGAGATAAAAAACTTAAAAGAAAAAATTTGGCTCACAGTTTCAGAGGTTTCAGTCCATGATCTCTTGGCTCCATGTTTCAACATGTAATACTATGGTCCTATTACTTGAGTATCTAAGCCCATGGTGGTTACTTAAAAATGCTTTTAAAGGACGAGCTGTAATCCCAGCTACTCAGGAGGTGGAGATCTGGAGGATCTCAGTTTGAGGCCAGTTAGGGCAAAAAAGTAAGTGAGATCCCATTTCAATTATTAAGTTGAACTGGGACAACAGTGTTCCAGTTCAAGGGAAGGATTAAGGTCTGAGGCTGGCCCTGGGCAAAATGAAAAACAACTACCTGAAAAAGTAGCTAATGCAGAAAAAGGCTGGTGAGCACAGCTCAAGTGGGACAGAGGGCTTCTGGAGGGACTACTGTCTTTCTTGTGAGAATGTTGTGGGAATGCATTAACTCTCTTGAGAGCTGTTTCTTATGAAGTATCTGGGCTGGGAAACAGCTCAGTGGTAGAGTACTTGCCTAGCCTAGCATGTGCCTGCCCTAGGTTTGATTCCCAGTATGACAAAAAAGTAAAAAAGTATCTGGTTTTTTTGTCCCCTCCTTTGTTTCATTCGCACCTGACTGCCCTTTTACTTTGTATGAAACTTTCACCAGAAGCTGGTGAGCTCTTGGAGATCCAGAACTGTCAGCTAAATAAATTCTTTTTTGGGGGTTGTGACATGAAAGACAGTACTCGGTTTGAGCTTAGGGCCTTGCATTTGCTATGCAGGTACTCTACCACTGGCACCACACTACCAGCCCTAAATAAACCTAACACTCACACAAAGAAAGATAGTAGATACATGCTCCTGTAAGAGGTACTTAAATTGCTTTTGCTGAAAAGCATCAACTCCTTACTTGGGCCCAATGAATTAACTAATAACAGGAGAAAAGCTTGACATCTCTGTATCCATTTGTACCTACTGTCCTTTGCTCTGAGCTATTCTTTCCTGCAGCCACCTTGGAATCAAGAAAGGTCAGGAATAATGGATAACATCTTTATGACAAGGGACTGAATTTTCCCCTAAGGAATAGTGGAAACTTGCAGGATCTCTAAATGAGGACAATAACCTATAATGATGAGGTTGTACCCTGGAGCAGCAGTAATTATCTCATGGGGATAACACTGCTCCCCTCAAGTGATGGGAATGATAGCAACTTCTCTGAGTAACATCTTCTTTAGACCTTTGAAGAACAAGGACTGAGTAATGGTCAACCAGGCCCCACTGGTCACAAATCTGTGACTAGTACTGTTTAACTATGCATACCTTTTGTCCCATGCTCTAATTCTTTGTCTACTTCAAGCTAAAGCTCATGTCTGTACATGATAGCTAAAGATATAGGTGCTTACTCTGCCTCTTCCCACGGCATGTCTTGGGCCATGTAATAAATCTCCTTTCTCTGCCCTTCCTCATGTCTCTTTAATTGGTGTATAGGGATAAATGGCCAGACCTGACATGTGGAAGCCTGGGAGTTTGGGCCTTGGGTCCAAAACTCCAGTTTCACTTCTACTTTCTCACAACCCATAGGAATAATTCACTTCAATGACTCTCTCCTTTTTTCCCCATAGTACTTCATACCTTTGGGGATGCTAAATGTTACTTCACTTCTAAATGGTTAACCTTGGCATACCAACAGGGAGAAGGAGAACAAGAGACTGAGGGCTGTGGTGAGTCCTGTTTGCTCTAAGCTTTAGTTTGGACTGAAACTTCCCCAAGCTTCCACCTTGAATAAGCATTCTCTAAGGGCAATTATTAGTAACTTATTCACTTTATTCAGTGACAGAAGAATGACTGCGAGGTGAGAAAAGAAAACATGTAAGTCCACAATAAGAGAGATATGAGCAAAGACAAAAAAAAAAAGTCACTTATGACCTGGAATTAAATTGAGAAAATCAGAACCTTTAGGGTCCGTGTCTATTGATAAGCAAGTTCCAACTGACAGGCTCTTCTAAATCTTTCCCTGTGTAAGCACTAAACCAATTTTCTGGAACTAATCACAACTCTCCAGTCCAGTCCAGTCCATTTATATATTAAGTTACCTGGGCCTATTTTGGGAACCTTACTTTCTGTTTATCATATAAAAGACAAAATCCAAGTAACAAATCTGCCTCCACACTGAGCAAACACCTCCAGCAGTTTTCTGCATTTTTCAAAATGATGCAGTGGAAAGGTATTAGTACTTTGTGTTACTGAGAGGTGGATGCAGGTCAAACAATTTCTATAATAAACTCAAAGCATCCTATTTCTAATTAAAAAAAATACTGATCTACAATGTGTGTATTCTTTTGTGGAAAAAAGACAAATTCTTTTTATGTAGTTAAAGGCAATTATGCCATATGTTTTGTGTGACTTAGAACTATTTGAAAGTGTGTTTTTTTGTTTTTTGTTTTTTGTTTTTCCCGGTGGCTGGTTGTTTTCCTTTGAGATAGGGTCTTAAGTAGTCTTAATTTTTTTTTTTTTGGGGGGTACTGGGGTATGAACTCAGGGCCTCATATTTGCTAGGTAGGCATTCTAAGACTTGAGCCACATTCTGCCAGGCCTAAGACAAGGTCTCAAAATGTAGTTCAGTCTAACCTCCAATTTGAGACCCTACTGGCTCTACCTCCTGAGTGCTGGGATTATAGGTGTGGGTCACGGAGTTTTAAGGCACGGAGAAGGGCTGTATTGGGTTTGCCTGTAGCAAGTATCTAGTAAGTATCTTATAGCTTTACATATAAACTTTTTTTTGTTTATATTTCACTATACAGTATGCTGTTAGCCATAATACGAGAAAAGCCCCAAAGATTTAAATGACGTAAAATATACACAAAAAGATATAATATCACAGAATTTACCCTGGCCTCAGAAATATCAGTTCTTTTTATTTATTTTTTGCAAACTAGTGGAGGTTAATGTCATGATGCTTCATCTTTTGAAGAATAAATGGAAATTCATAGTAACACTATTTTAGTTCCATTAAATGTTAGTAATTATTAACACTGAGTATGTGATTACATCTTTCCAAGTCTAGTAAATGTAACAACTTTGATTTTTACACAGTATTAAGTCTTAGTCACTGATTGGATTCATGACTTAACATCAATGAAAGCATTTAACTATCCCTTTAAAAATGCTTTCTGGACAACATAAGTGGATTTGGAATTTTTCTTTCATTTTGTGGTGCTGGGGATTGAACCCAGGGCCTGTGCATGCTAGGAAATCACTCTAACCACTGAGCTGTACCTCCAGTCCTACACAGTTTTCTCATGCTCTACTCCTTTTTGAGAATCTCAAATGTTAAAATGTCTTAAGGCAAAATAGTTTCCTTTTAGAAAGTGTCACATGAAAAGAAATGTATAAAGCAGGTCTGTGAGCTCATTGTTCTCCTGTCATACTTTTGCTCCTTTTCTTCCATTTTTTTTTTCATTTTTCTTTTATTATTCATATGTGCATACAAGGCTTGGTTCATTTCTCCCCCCTGCCCCCACCCCCTCCCTTACCACCCACTCCACCCCCTCCCGCTCCCCCCCTCAATACCCAGCTTTTTTTTTTTTCAACTGGAGTTCAATATGGCCTTGAACTCACCACCCTTCTGCTTCAACCTCCTGAATGCTGGTATCTCCGAGTTAGAAAGCCCCATTCTTTTTTTGTTTTGTTTTGTTTTGTTTTATTATTCATATGTGCATACAAGGCTTGGGTCATTTCTCCCCCCTGCCCCCATCTTCTCCCTTACCACCCACTCCACCCTCTCCCTCTCCCCCCTTACCCCCTCCAAACCAGGCAGAAACTATTTTGCCCTTATCTCTAATTTTGTTGAAGAGAGAGTATAAGCAATAATAGGAAGGAACACGGGTTCCTATACAGGGAGTTGACTCACATTAATTTCCTGTGTGTGTGTGTTACCTTCTAGGTTAATTCTTTTTGATCTCACCTTTTCTCTAGTTCCTGGTCCCCTTTTCCTATTGGCCTCAGTTGCTTTTAAGGTATCTGCTTTAGTTTCTCTGCGTTAAGGGCAACAAATGTTAGCTAATTTTTTAGGTGTCTTACCTATCCTCATATCTCCCTTGTGTGCTCTCGCTTTTATCATGTGCTCAAAGTCCAATCACCTTGTTGTGTTTGCTCTTGATCTAATGTCCACATATGAGGGAGAACATACAATTTTTGGTCTTTTGGGCCAGGCTAACCTCACTCAGAATGATGTTCTCCAATTCCATCCATTTACCAGCGAGTGATAACATTTCATTCTTCTTCATGGCTACATAAAATTCCATTGTGTATAGATAACACATTTTCTTGATCCATTCGTCAGTAGTGGGGCATCTTGGGTGTTTCCATAACTTGGCTATTGTGAATAGTGCCACAATAAACATGGGTGTGCAGGTGCCTCTGGAGTAACCTGTGTCACAGTCTTTTGGGTATATCCCCAAGATTGGTATTGCTGGATCAAATGGTAGATCGATGTCTAGCTTTTTAAGTAGCCTCCAAATTTTTTTTCCAGAGTGGTTGTACTAGTTTACATTCCCACCAACAGTGTAAGAGGGTTCCTTTTTCCCCACATCCTCGCCAACACCTGTTGTTAGTGGTGTTGCTAATGATGGCTATTCAAACAGGGGTGAGGTGGAATCTTAGTGTGGTTTTAATTTGCATTTCCTTTATTGCTAGAGATGGTGAGTGTTTTTTCATGTGTTTTTTGGCCATTTGAATTTCTTCTTTTGAGAAAGTTCTGTTTAGTTCACTTGCCCATTTCTTTATTGGTTCATTAGTT